GTTTTTTAGATTCCACATATGAGCGATCTCATGGTCTTTTTCTTTCTCTTTCTGGCTTACTTCACTTACAATGACATTCTCCAGGAGCATCCATGTTGCTGCAAATGGCATTATGTTGTCGGTTTTTATGGCTGAGTAGTATTCCATTGTATAAATATACCACATCTTCTTTATCCAGTCACCTGTTGATGGACATTTAGGCTGTTTCCATGTTTTGGCTATTGTAAATAGTGCTGCTATGAATACTGGGGTGCAGGTGTCATCCTGAAGTAGGGTTCCTTCTGGATATAAGCCCAGGAGTGGGATTCCTGGGCCATATGGTGAGTCTATTCCTAGTCTTTTGAGGAATCTCCACACAGAAGACATGACTTTTAAAGATACTTACAGCCATGTTTTAGAGAGAAAATCTAGAAAACAATGAGTATTAAGAGACTGTTAGCAATATTTTGCTTCCTTTTTCTATTCTCAGTCTCTTCAACTGTTGTTTTCCAATGTCATAGGATGTTCCTATAATAAAGCAGAAAAGAAACATTCCCAGGGAAGGATTTATCAGGGGATTATATTATTTGGTGTGATATTTTACTCTAGCATGCTTAGATATTTGTTTATTCAAGTAACTGAGAAAGCTAATTGCTAAAAACATTAATGTAGAAAAAGATTTCTGGGAATAGGAAAAATTCTTCTGATCAGGGGACAGTGAAGTCTGGGGAGTGGGACGATAGTTTTTTTTTTTTTTAAGTCCTGTAGTAATTTGTAATGGTTCTTCTATAATTTCTTAAACATATTCTTCTACTCTCTAAATATTGTTACGTATTGTAATACTTAATGGAAACAGAACTTATTTTAAGTTCTGACAATTTTATAGTCAAATCTGTTAAAATGTGTCTCTGTAAAATCTTAAGAATGCTGCTTCTCTTCTGATGGGAGGTGAAAAGAGCAAGGTAGGGGAGGCCAGGGGTGGAAAAATATGTACTGTGGCAGCTTCCTGTTCATATCTAGCTAGGATAATACTTCTGCTACCTGCATTGCCATAATACCTGCTTTCCCTACAAGTCAGTTCTGAAGTTCTTCCAAAGAATTATTTTCCTTTGTTTTGACAGGATAAGCATAAGTTCTGGCTGCCTTTTATTTTCCCCTGCAGCCATTTAATAGGAGAGTTTATAGTCACATCTCTGTATCTTGTGTTCCTATCTAGACAGAGAGCAGGACAGTGACATATAAAGGTTTTCTGACTGTTAATGTAGGGACTTGATGTTTTAAACCCCAGAAAATTATCCATACTCCTAAAATTTAAACACAACCTTTTTTTAAAAATTGGAAATAACATAAGAATCTAGTAGAAGCATGACACTTTTTTTTCTAACTAAATAGGAAGTATGCAAATAACCATGGCACATAGTAAAAGGCTCAATTGATACATTTCTGAATTCTGTTATTTAATGTAGTTTATTAAAGTTTTACTTCTTAGGAGAATCAATCTTTTTTTTTAGTCACTGATGGTGGGAATTGTGTATGTTGAGACTACAAAATAATTGAAAGAAACTGAATATTTATTCAAGATAATTTTGCTTTCTTTAATAAATGAATTGAAAGCTTATTTAAGAATTTTAGGTTAGTTGAGGACAAATGAAACTAGACTTCTGATACCTTCTGCAATACTCTGTTGTGTTTTTTTTTGTGAGGACAAATGTTTCTACAGTCTTTCAAGGAAACCATAAGATTTTGGTAGTTGCTTTATATAAAAACATTTTTATTGATGTACAGACTTGAATATACAAAAGATTTAATTACTATAGTGATACATATTAAAATGAAGGGTCCATTTTAGAAATATAGTTAAGTGATATTTTGATAAAAAAGACAAATTGATTATAGGGTTTAGTAACTCAGAGATTATAATGCAGAAATCATTAGTAGTTTGCAGTTAATTTCCAATTTTCATAACATTATAATTGTGTTTTAAAACATCTTCCTAAGCATGCTGAGTTTCTTGGATGTTGCGCTGATAATTCTTGGCATCATTACACTGCTTAACAGACCAGTTGTCTGGTTCTGACGAACGACAGTAAATACAGATAGTACTACTGTGGGCAGGGGAGGGTCAGAGGCCACGAAGGCTCAACCTGTCCCAGTACCACTGAAAGTGAATAAACTCTGGAGGGTCTACAAAGTTTTGTAGAATAAATGTTTTTGCTTTGACTATTAAGTTGGTCTGGAGCCTCATGTCAAAGAGATAGGAAGGGAAATAAAACTTACCTTGAAAGGGATGGTTCCATACAAGTTGAACCAAGCTTTCAGGTTAAAATATGCAGGTGGTTATGATTTCCTAAGGAATAAAATTATAGCCACTAGGTTTTTAAAAGTCATGCAAGTTACAGAATTTTACATGTTTAAACTTCTTCCATTTTGTCAACATACACTTGTGAATGTTCTTATTTATTCAGCTAGTATCTATCCAGTGTGCCAGGACTGTGTCAGGAATACAAAATGCATTGTTTAAGTACAAGCTTAATATAGCAACAGTATGGAGAAAGAGCTACATAATAAAAAGACAACCAGAATAGGAATTTCAGTGAAGTATAAGAGTTGCTTTAGTTAGGGAAACTACAGGGTTCTATAGAAGTATGTGGCAGAAAGAATGCAAAACCTCATAATTCACAGGCCATTGAGTAGCCTACTCAGAAGGCCCTTGCTACAGTAGTGGAGAATAATTATTCTTAGACTGTAGGCTACTCCAGTCCCACCTATGATATCTTAAAAGCAAGAACCAACAGGATCAAACTGTGTCCAAGTAACTTAACTGAGTTTTGTCCTGGAATACAGTTTTTATAGGAATATAAAAATATCCAGCACCCAACAAAGTAAAATTTATAATGTCTGCTTTCAATCAAATATGACGAGGCAATGCAAAGAAGTGGGAAAATCTCAATCAAAACTAATCTAGAACTAATACAGATATTAGAATTGCCAGGCAAGGACATTAAAACAGTTGTTATAATTTTCAATATCTTTAAAAATTTAGAAGACTAAGCTTGAATATGTTAAGTAAATATATGGGATATGTTAAAAAAAAACAAAATTATAAAAGGTGATAAATACATTGGATGGAATTAATGGCAGATTAGTAATCTTTGCTTCTGCAATGTCTAAACTTGAAGACATAGCAATAGAAATTATCCAAAATGAAACAGAAAAAAACTGAAAAAAAGAAAGGCAGAGCAACAATGAGTTGTATATCAACCTCAAGTGGTCTACTATACCTGGAACTGGAGTCACCAAAGGAGAGGAGAGAGATGGAAAGATAGAAAAAATACTTACAGAAATCACTGATAAAAGTTTTCTAAATTTAATGAAAACTATAAACTTAGAGATTTCAAGAGTGTCAAAGAACCCCAAGTGTGCGCACACACACACATATACAATGTACAATGACAATACAAAGGCTGGGAGGAGAGAAATGGAAGTATACTGTTACAAGGCTTTTCATGCTCTACATGAAGTGGTGACGTATTCTTGAAGGTAGTCTATTACAAGTATGTATACTTTGTAAATATGTATATTATAAAGTCTAGAAAAACTACTAAAATAAGAAAATAGTTATAGGTAATAATTCACCAAAAGAGATAAAAATGAATTATTTTTAAAATTCAATTAATCCCAAAGATGGCAGAAAAGAGGAAAAGGGGAGTAAAGAATAGATATGACAAACAGAAAACAGATGGCATGATGGTAAATTTAAACTTAATCATATCAATATTTAATCATTTCTCTAAACATCCCATTTTAAAAGCAGAGATTGCCAGATTGGATGAAAAGACAAGCTCCAACTATACGCTGTCTACAAGAAACCCACATTAAATATAAAGAAATAAATACATTAAAAATAAGAATGGAGAATACTAATCAAAACAAAGTTAGAGTGGCTATGTTAATGTCAGAAAAATATTTCAGAGCAAAGAAATGTAACCAGGAATCTGAAGGTCATGTCATATGCAAGGGGTCAAAGACGTATTGTGATACACACACACACACACACACACACGATGACACATTAGTCATTGTAAAACCTACCACTTACAGCTGTGTAGGTAAAACAAGAGGACATGATGCTAAGTGAAATAAACCAGACGCAGGAAGAAAAAAAACCTGCATAATATCATTTACATGTGGATTCTTAGTCATATACATAAGATCGAAGAGTAGAACAGTGGTTACTATGGGTGAGAAAGTGGGAGAAATGGAAAGATGTTGGTCAAACGGTACAAAATTACAGTTATGTAGGATAAATAAGTCTAGAGATCTAAGGTACAGCATGACAACCATAGTTAATAATACCATACTGAGTACTAGAAATTTACTAAGAGTAGATTTTAGGTGCTCTCATTATACACACACAAAGGTGACTGTGTGAGATGATATGTTAATTAGCTTGACTGTAGTAATCATTTCACTATGTATAGGTCTATCAAATCATTTTGTATACCTTAAATATGTACTATTTTTGTTTTAAAAAATTTTAAATAGCAAAGTGGTAAACTAATCAAGAGGATATAGTAATCTTAAACATTTATCCACCTATTAACAGAGCTTCAAAACTCTTTTTACTCAGGAAGTAAAAATAACAGAACTATAAAAAGAAAGAGAAATCCACAGTTGTAGTTGGAGATACTTCTCTAACAATGATTGATAGAGGAAAGTAGATAGAAAATCAGTAAGGATATAGAACATGGGAACAACACCGTTAACTGACTTGGCCTAATGGACATTTATAGAACACTCCACCCATAACAGCAGAATGTACATTCTTTTCAAATGCATAGTAAATACTTACTAAAGTAAGCAGTATTCTTGAGCATAAAACTTAAATCTTAATAAATTTAAAAGAATTCTAATCATACAAACTATAATCTCTGGCCAAATGAATTAGTTTAGAAACCAGTAACAGGTAAATATTTGGAAAATTCCACAATACTTGGAAGTTTTTAACTATATGAAAAGAAAAATGACATAAAAATTTGTAGATTGCCACTAACACAATACTTAAAGGGAAATGTACATCAGTAAACTACCTGTATTAGAAAGGAAGAAAGTTGACACAACATTGTAAAATGATTATAAATCAAAAAATGTTTTTAAAAGGAAAAAAAGAAAGGAAGAAAGGTCTCAGATTAGTTGACCTTGGCATCATCCTCAAGTGAATAGGGAAAAAAGGGGCAAATAAAACCAAAATCAGAAAGAAAGTAGTAAAGGATAAAGATCAGAGTGGAAATTAATGAATAAAAAACAAAAATACAGAAAACCAGTGAAACCAAAAGTTAATTCCTTGAGATGATCAATGAAATTGATAAATCTATAACTGATCCTAAAATCAGTATCAGGGATGAGGGAGATGGCATTATTACAGATACTATATATATTAAAATGATGATAACTTTGTACCAAGAAATTCTGCGACTTAAATGAAATGGACAAGTTCCTTGAAAGACACAAATTACCAAAGCCCACTCAAGAAGAAATTGATGATCTGAACAATTGTTAAAGAAACTGAATTTGTAAAGATATTTTCACAAAACAAAATCTATACCCAAAAGATTTATTTTGAAATCTGTCAAACATTTTCAGGAAGAAATACCAATTCTACATGAACTCTTCCAGAAAATTAAAGAGTGAATACTTCCCAACTCATTCGATGAGGCCAGCATTATCCTGCCACCACAATGAGACAAAGACATTCTAAGAAAGAAAACTAAGGACCAGTGTCCCACGTGAATATAGATGCAAAAATTCTTAACAAAAGTTAAGCAGACAGAATCCAACAATGTATAAAAAGAATGTAAACTGTGAGCAAGTGAAGTTTGTCCCAGGAATATGAAGGTTGGTTTAGCATCTGAAAATCAGTCAAGGCAATGTGTCATCTTAGTAAATACAGAAAAAACATTTGACAAAATCCAGCATTCATTTTTTACAACTCACAGCAAAGTGGGAATAAGAAGGAACTTCCTCAATTTGATAAATCCTATCACTAACACTATTTTATAGTAAAATACTGAATGTTTTCCCCCTACTGTCAGGAATGAAGCAAGGATATCCATCTACTTTTACTGCTTCAGTTCAACATTATACTGGAGGTTCTAGCCAGTGCACTCAGGAAAGAAAAAAGGGGGTAAAATTGTTTTATTTGCAGATGGCATGATCATCTGTGTAGAAAACCTGAGGTAGGGAGAGAGTGGTGATATAACACAAAGCTCCAAAGGTAAATACAGCCTGGGCCATAAATGCTTTTTAAATCTATATCAAGGAATGCCAGAGTTTCGTAAGGGCAGTGTATAACTATTAAACTTTTTTTTGCATTAATAAGATTTGCAATTAGTATATTTTGGTTGCATTGTAGAATATATATTGAAGAGGGCCTTAAAACTCAAGACAGAGACTTCAGGTAAAAGTCTATAGAAATAATATAGATGAAAGATGATAATTGACTAGAGTGCAGTAGGGAAAGAGGGATGTGAACAGGCTTGATACCTACTAAAAGATGAAATTGACAGGATCTTTACTGAATGTGGAAGATGGGGCATAATATGGAATACAGGACAACTCACCTGTTTCAGACTTGAAACACTGGATAGGTAGTTGGTACTTTTCACTGAGATAGGTAACATGGGAGAAGGAATAGGTGAAGGAGAGGTGTGGGAGGATGGGATGAATTTTAAACATGTGTAGCTTGGGATACTTTTGAGATAGCCAAGTGATGATGTACTGGAGCCAGTTTATACAGGTGTCTGGATAAGGAGAAAAGTTTGTTTGGGAGATAAAAGACTGCAAGATACCAGATGGTAACTGAAACCATGGGAATGGAAGAGATAATCTAGGGAGAAGATGTAATGTGAGTAGAGAGGTGGGCTTGGGAGAGAACCAGCTTATAAAGGAAGAGGAATGTAAAAATGAAATTAGGAAGGATGAATCAAAGAGGTAAGGAAAAACCTTAAGAATGTGTTACGGAAAGAGATGTTTTCAGAAAGGAGAGGTTCATAGTGTCAGATGCTTCTGAGAGGTCAGTACTGGCTAATATTTATTTGGAGGTTACTGTATACTAAGATCTTGTAAACAGTTTTGCATGTTTTATTAATTTTCATAATAACCCTTTGAGGTAGGTATTAATACATTCCAATTTTCCAGATGAGATGAATGAGGTACAGAGAGGTTAAATGACTTGCCCAAGAAAATGCATAAATGACAGAATTAAGATTTGAAATCATATAATCTGACTATATAATTAGTGCTTTTTGGCCAGCAAGATAAGTGATAAAAGTGACAGATGGATTTCACAGTAAGGGTTTCACTGGTAACTTTAGTCAGTTTTTGTGGATCAAATGGGAACAAAAACCTGGTTAGAGTGGATTGAGGAATAAATGAGAAAAGGGAAATGTACACATTTCTTTCATGAAACTTGGGTGTGAAAAGGAAGAGTGGGCGCATAGGCGAGTACTAGTTGAGATTTAGGAAGGGCATTTATAAGATAAGGAAACCTTAAATAAGTTTAAATACAGAGGAGAGCAAGCAAGTAAAGAGAGAGAGAGGGGTTGGAGAGACATAAGAGATGGAAGGAAGGGGCACAGAGGAAGAGAGAGAATAAAAAGAGAGTTTCTGAACTATAATGACAAAGCAATAGGGAATAGGATCCATAGCAAGTATAAGTAAACTGAGGGATCCAAAGAGGAGAAAGACCTCTTTTATTGTCACACTGGGGAAGGAGGAAAGCATGGATGTGGATGAATATAAACTTCTAGGTTTCCTGCTATTCCAACTTCTTCAATCTCAATTTCTCTCTCTTTCATAGATTTGAAACAGGGATGAAAATTCTGTGTGTCAGCAAGTTACTACTCATTTAACTTGGACTTCTGTTGGCTAAAGGGGAGAGGGAAGAGCATCCTTCTACTTTGCTATTGAAATACAGGTTTCTAAGACACAGACTGAGCTGGGGAAGTCTTTCTGGTATCGTTCCAGCATGGAGGATTTTCTACCACTTTTGAAGAATCATATTCGCAATTATCACAGGAAATGAACATACTCCTTGGTGTTGTGCTGGGCTAAATCTTACTGTTAGAAAAGGTCGAGTATAGTCTGTAAAATATTCAGCTATAGGTGACGGTGATCATGATATACAGTATTTCTTTATAAGCAACTATCTAGACTAGGGGGTCAGCAAACTACAGTACTCTGCCTGTTTTTTAAAATATTGAAGCATAGCCACATCCATGCTTGATGTATGTCTACCATACCAGGGTTAAATGGTTGCAGCAGAGACTACGAGCCTAAAATATTTACTACTTGGCCCTTTTCAGAAAGTCTGCTGACCTCTTGTCTAGAATAATAAAGCAGTAAGAACTTGGAAAGTTTTTTGAGAAAAATTATGACCCTAAAAATGTGAAGGGAATTAGGATATATTGCTAAATGAAAATATCACTTTACAAACCTTTACAAATTATACCTTAATCTCATTTTTAGTTTAAAAATTTATACAAAAATGGTAATAGTAGTTGTGAATGGTGAGATTACACTTGATTTTTTACTTTCTTACTGGTTCTCATGTGTTTTCTGATTTTCCTACAATGAGCATGTGTTACTGTGTTATTAATAAAATCAAACAGCCAGTAGAATAGAACGAGAACACAGAAGCCACAGTGAATTAGAGCGTGAAAAATAGAGAATTTGTCAGGGTAAGGCCCGGATGATGCATAAAGAAAGTGCTTTTGTGGGTTACAAAAAAGTTGAAGAAGTTTTTTGGTGATGCCACTAAAACAATTTTAGGTCCTTCAGTTCCGCGTATTTAATGAGCATCTGATATGAGTACTACTCAAGAATGTAGTTTCCCACAAAAAAGAAAATAGAGATATATACGTTATAAATTACATTTAGGTCTTGTCCCTCATTTCCAAATATTCGGATTTTTAAGTTTGGTTTATGGAGATGTTCTTAATTTTTGTGACTCATAGGTAATAATTAGTGATTTATATTTAATTTGAAAAATTAAATTCAGTCATTTAGCTATGCATAAAACCTCTACTTTAATATATTATAGAAGTTGAGGGCTTTGTTTTGTAAGAAGTCACAATTGTGCTTTAAAAAAAAAAAGATGAACAGCTTTTACTTGGACAAAAAAATAAGTCAGAAATTACCAAAAGCAATTTTTCAGTGAAGTACTGTTATTAACCAGATGAGACCTGAGGTAGTTTTATTGTGTATTCTGCTCAACATCTGCACTGTGGCACTACCCAGATGCTCACTATAAAGTTCAATGGATCTTGACAAACATTAAGTTGACTTCAATGGCTATACTGTTAGGAGTCATTGAAATAAAAGAGAAACCGATTTTTACGAAATCTCATCTCAAGTCACATATTTTTAAAATTACCACTATTAATTATTTTAGTATCTCTGTAATGACCAAATCAGTTACTGAGAGCAATCTCAAGAGTGAAGCTTAGGCTACAAACTACAACTTGCGGATAAACTGTCACGCAAAACAAACAGAAAATCAAAGCAAAATATAACCAAAAAAAAATCTTGTTCTCTTTGTCTTTTAAATATGAGTCAGATAGGCTAATGATCCATTAACTATAATTAAATTATAACTTGGAGGAGGAATTTTTATGTAACTTTGTTAAAAAAAAAAGAATAGAGAATGACCCTCAAAACAAGAATATATGTGGATGTAGGTAGCATTTTTATGTACAATGTAAAATTTGAGCCTGTGTGTCAATTAAGTGTGAATAATTATATAAAATTCTATATTTATAATTAAACACACATATAGACATATATGTATGTGTGTTTATGTGTATAAATTACATCCATCTATCCAACTGACCATAATAACAATGAATAATGGAGTGATTTTGAATGAGAAATATCAGTAATAATTATATCTAAAAGAAATCTCCTGTTAGTGAAATAATTATGTTACGAAATTATCTTAAAAGGAAGTAATAGCAGTCCCATTGTTTGTTATTTAACAGTGCACTGAGTCCACACAGTTGTGGGGAGCAAACTTCATTGACTATAGATGTGTAATAGATCTTATCCATATCTGACACTTACTGTTCAAGTTGATTTTAACCATAATGTAGACCAGAATCTGTTTTCATTGCTATGCAAGCACTCTTTTTTTTTTTTTTAAATTAATGTGCTTCTCATTTATTCAGGAAGTCTCTAATGGCATTTGGGGAGGGGAAACTTATTAGCTTCCTTCCTGTGTAATGCAATTTTTATTTCTTGGTGAAATTGTGGTCTCAGCCAAAAACCAACACTGGACGGAAGGAAGGAATAAGGAAAGGAAAATGGGAGGGAGGAATGAAGGCAGGAAGGAATAGAAATACAAAAGAAGGAAAAAAAGAAAAAGTTAACTATACAAACATATAGTTCACTTGTATAAAAATAAGAAATTGTAAAATGTTCTGCCAAAATAGCAAGATTCTGTCACTGTCTCATTTCTATTCCCTGCTGCCTTGATGACCTCATTTTATTTATATATAAATGAAGCAATATGTATATTTTTGGTGATATTGTTACTAAATTTCTAAGTAATTGAAAGATAAAGAAGAGTTGTTCTGGTTATCTTTTTTTTAATTTTATATGACTACTGGAAAATAGCTGTCCATCTCATATAGCTCTCTCCATTTACTTCAGTAGTGATATGTACTGATTTTATGAGTAAAGAAAATATCCTGCCCAAATCTGGAATTTGGCTAGTAGAATAGTGAATGGGAAGGTTCAGGGGGCAGTGCGTCAAAGTCTTGTTGAGGAAAGAGTAAGTTTAGGCAGTTGAAAATACATATTTGATATAACTATTTTCATACTAAAAGCTACAGAAGGTAAAATTTAACAAAAAATCTTAGCTGATAGGGATATACAAAAGGTAGAGTGAAAAGGTCTGTTAGAGAAAAGGATTTTAAAAGGCTGGCAAACTCTGCTCTGGGGTATTAAAGTGACGCCTTCTAAATCATTCTTAGACTTTTGAATGGTAACTGTTTAAGTAGTCTTTCTAAACTATTATCATGCTCCAAGTGTTAGGTTGCATTCCACTCTCCATTTGTCAAAGATCAAGTATCTAGTTCGTTTTCACCACTTTGCTTTCAAGTTTTGTTCTACAGGAAGGAAGGAAAAAGTAAAACCAATATTTTGGAGGGCTTTTCCCCCATCCCTTCTAAAATAATTTTCCTGAAAGATTCTCATATTTTTAAAATTAATCTCTCAGCTTTTGTGACATGTAAATCTGCAAGTTGTCTTAGAGAAAATAGAACAAAAAAGGTAGTTACATAGACTAGGGCCATGAGTAAAGGAATATGTATTACGTGCACGTTTCATCATGGTGCTGTCTGACCTTGTAATGCATTTGTGAGCAAAGTAAACTCAGTCTGGCTCTTAATCGAATCACTGAGAGTTTGACTCACCCAAGGCCATGGTGGAGCTGGATGGCGATAAGGCTGGATCCAAGAATCAGCAACACTGCGGTCTCATTATTACCATCATTTCTTGAACTCCTACTGTGCTCGTAGTCCTTGTCCTGGCAGTTTGTATACTCCGTCAGAGGCCGTGACCTATTTTTAGTGTTGCCTTTTCAAGTGAAAAGATAATATCGCATGCTGTGTTTTATACATTGCTGTGAAAAATGGATGAGGAAAAATTTATAAATTCTGAGTCTACTTTGCATTTTCATGCTGTTTATAATTACTAAAAGTCTATCACCATTCAAATCATAACTAAAAAAATTAAACTCTCCCGAACTGTATTTTGTTCTATCACCTCCTTCCCCTCAGGCCTTTACGTTATTTTCTGTAAATCTTGTTTTACTTGTTTCGACTGTGTAAATCTCTGGTTTCTTATATAGTTTCTGGTTATAATTAAATATGTGGTTTATTCTGCATCTTAAATATGGATATTTATTTTAAATACATACTGTATGAAACCAACTCAGTCATGTGAGTGTGATTAGGGCTAAGCATACTTTATGGACTGTTGTTTGCTTATGTTTGCTCAATACAAGAATCTAACCCAGATATTCACCATTTGAGGACATACCCAGCTAATGTTGTTATCTTCATGCTATAAAACAAAATAAATCTATAAACAACTTTTTCTTAATCCCAGATGAATATAACTGGAAAAGGAAGGTGAGATCGATCACAAATACTTATAGTAGGTGGCTAGGTGGAAAATTGTACCTTTTCATATTCAGTTGATTATTTTCTTAAAATAGCCTGCTCCAAGTTCTTTGAAATTTCCTGAAACTTATAACTATAATATAAAGCATAATTATTTTAGAAATGTTTAATAGTTATCAACATTTTAAAAGAATAGTCTTATAGGTATTTTTAAAAGTACATATGACATAAAAAAGGACAATGACATAAAAATATACATAAATTCTAATTATTCTAAATTTGATGAAGTATACATTTTTAAATTCTAGAAAACTTAATTTTAAAGCATTTTCAGTACTGAAATATAATTACTAAATTCTTTGACAGTTGACCATCAAACACTTCAAGTAAGATTTAAGTTGAGAGCTTTAACAGAATTTCCTCCAGTAAATTCCTTTATGAAAAAGGACAGTTTTAATAAATAGTAGAATGTAAGTAGAAAATTGTCCTTAGAGAGTCATTTGTTGTTCAGCCATTGCCACTGAGAAAGACTGATCCTAGACTTCCAGAATTTTATAGGTTGACTGTGTAAAAACTAGCATTTGCATTTCTAAAAGTTTTAAAATTATGGGTAGAATAAAACTCCAAAAACAGATACCTAAAATGCTTTACTTGAAATACAATTAGAAAACCTTGTGCTTACGCATGTGTTAAATATCTCCTGACTATAGAATCATCGAATTTATTGTTATGAAGTAGATACATATGCTGAAGGAAAATAAGATCGTTTTTCTAATTCCTGACACCGAATGTATTTTATAATGTAATGATAATACAGAACAGAAAAATCTTAGAGGCTAGTTAATTTACAGTAAAAAGAAATTGATTCCTAGTTAATTATAATAATAACAGCATGAGCTTTTTTTTTTCTACGATTACTATATTTACAGTAAAATAGCAAGCCTGTGTTTTGGGAGCTCCGAACTAGCTTAATAAGTTCTTATCCATGATTCCATGACCTTAACATTATGACTTCTTACGGTACTTTAAAAAACCATAATGCCATATTAACAGACAGTCAATAAATAAATGTTCAGTAAAGTCACTGTCATAATAAGAACTTTTTAATTGAAATAACTTCTCTACAAATCATTTACTTATTCATTCAATAGGTACTATCAAACCCCATATATATGGAGGATATTGACGTAGGCACTGTTCTTTCCAAGAGGCTTAATTACAGTTTTAGCTTGAAACAGATGTGTGTACAAAACAGTAACAAGATGTAGGAAGTAGTAGAAATAGGCCTGGAAACCAAGTTCAGATTCAGAGCATGGAGGCCAATGAGGGGTTGATGATGAAGAGAGAGAAAGACAAAGACAGACCAAATGCTATTTTATTTCAGTGGTACAGTTAAGAGTATGGTAATGACTGAACTAGGGCTTCAATACTATAGATGAAAAGGAGAAAGGTGATTTTGAAAATTTTGGAAATTTAGAATCTTTAAGCTTTGAAGCCATGTTAGTAGTTCTACAGAAGTTTACTAGAAGTTTACTTCTAGGCAGAAGGAATGTACATTAGATCCACAGTTAAAACAGTTTCTAAGAATTGTAAACCTGATACCGTGCTATCTGAACAAGTATCTCTTGATAGGCTTCATTTCTTTTCCTGGTCAAGATTTGCCCCTTACTAAAAGCCCAAAGTATGAGTGATGATTATTCCAGTAAATTCTAGGAGAATTCTTTGTGA